AGGAAACGGGCGAATGGAGAAAATTACACAACGCAGAATTACATCAATTATATAATAGTCCGGATATTATTAATGTCATAAAATCGCGTCGATTAAGATGGGCAGGTCACGCGGCGCGTATGGATGAGAATCGAATTGCATATAAAGTACTAATTGGTAAACCGGATGGGAAAAGACCATTGGGTAGACCAAGACGTAGATGGGAAGAAAATATTAGAATGGACCTTAACGAAATGGGGTACGAAGGTCACAAATGGAGGGATCTGGCTCAGGGACGGGAACAGTGGCGGGATTTGATATTTGCGGCAATGAGCTTTCGAGTTCCTAACGCCTAATAATAATAATAATAATATGTTCCTGTGTTAAATAATCGGATTTAATAAAATTCGAACATAATAAACGTAAAAATCATATACATTCTGTATATAAATTAGAAATTAAACATTTTTCAGACTGAAACAAAGTATCTAAAGTATGCATATATGAAAGAACATATTGCATAAATTTAAAATAGGTTTTAGTACATAGATTATTTAATTCTTTTAATAACAAATCAGCCATGGGATATATTTTTGTCTTTAATATCAGCTTTCGAAGAACTAACCATCTTGTTTTACTGGGATTAATCATTCAATGTTTTTCTTTTTTCATAATATTGTACTTTATATTTCTTCTAAAATTGTTTGTCGCTTTGGACTTCGTGAAAAATATGAATAATATGAATATACAGAATGCATTAAGCTTTCCATGTTTTTAGGTAACTCATCAGCGTGATTAGCAATTAAATGAGCAGAGTGGTAAATACATCCCAATACAAATATATTAGGGTTATTTTTAATTAAATGGGATTGAAAAGAATTCATTTTCCCCATCGTTACATTAGCATTGTCGCTACAATAGCCTACAATATTATTAATACAATACAATATTATTACTTAAATTGTGAGCTTTCAAACATTCAATAAATGTTTTATACATATTTTCTGCAGTATCTGCGAGCATTTTTACTAAATCTAATAAATGTGTAATGCATTTGCCATTTTTATAATATCTGACTAGTATGCAAGTTTTTATCATTGTTTAAATCAGTGTTTTCGTCTACTAATATAGAAAATACATTATTTTTTTAATTTTTATCACATTGAATTTTAATATCATTAACCAATAAATAATTAATTAAATTGGAACATTTCAGTCTTTTCATTTTAATAAGACTAGGAATCTTGCTATCATTAAATATACTTTTTGTAGTTGCAATAATACCTTCACTCTGAAACTGAGATTATGTTCAACTGCAAAGAATGTATATCGAAACTCTGCAGTTATCACATTCCATTGGTTTTTGTACAATACAAACATTTGAATGTTTGAATTTATTTATCTGTCCTTTACATTTTTTTTGTGTGTTGATATGTCAGTATGTTTCTTTAATTTACTTCGTCCTGCTACTAAAACTTTATTGCACACTTTACATTTTGCCTTATATTTGTCTTCATCGCATGGACCCAACCAATTACTATTCTGGAAGTTGTAACCAAGCCATAAATAATTGTTTCCGTCAAGTAGAAACTCTTTTCTTTCTAGGTGTTACAAGGCCATCATCACTGTTATCGGAATTCATAACTCTGATGTCCAAGCTTCGATCTTTTCCGTATTACAAATCAAACTAATCAAGACTCCTTATAAATCAAAGAACTGGAAAGGATACAGGCAGTAGGAGTCAAGCGTAGAAGACGTCGCGCAAATAATATTATATATCTATGAAGTGTGAAATTTCTTTATTCACTAAGATGCGCTTACACGTTTCGACTCACTTTTGAGCCCTCCTCAGAGACAACACAAATTAACATAAATAAACTGTGAATAAAAATTATCCTATCATGGAGCTCCCCTACCTCGAGAATTTAAATACCAGAACTAAACGCCAAAAAGAATGAAAGAAAAAGAAAAAAGAAAAATAAACGAAAAAATGGAAATAATGGAAATATTGAAATAGAGAAAATGAAAAACTCATTTATCAAAAACTTTAAGATTATAATTAATTATCCCGAAAATAAGGACGCTCATCCTGATCACAAATCACAAACTATATCGCAAACATTACTATGAATTATTCAAAAACCGGTTATCAACATTTTTTGGCTAAGTAGTTTGTTAAATAGTGATGGGATACTTCCGAGAGAGCCTACGCTCTTCCAAAGATACATAAGCAGGACTGCCTCTTTCATATAATAGTTTCTTCGATAAATAGCCCTTTGTATTCGTTAGCAGTGTTTCTTCATAATATTATCATAAAAACAATTCCTAAGGCGGATAGTCATATCGAAATTTTAAACTTGTTAAGGAATTTGATGGTAGACGTTGAGTGATAAATTTCAATTTAATGTCACTGGATGTTGTGAGCCTCTTTACTAACGTTCCCATGCGATGGGGATGTATTAAAGACCATTAGTTTATTTCTAGAGATTATTGTTTATCGGAGGAGGAATTCATCAAAGCGGTTCAGTTTGTTTTAGATTCTATTATTTTGTTTTTGATAGTATTATATATAGGCAGAATTACAGGACTCCTATGGACTCTCCGTTGTCACCCGTCATTGCGGATCTAGTTATGCGAAAGCTGGAGGTTAGAGCTTTGTCTTTGATTCGGTTTCCGTTGTCCTTTTACTATAGGTTTGTTGACGATATATTATTGGCGACACCTGCGTCTTCAATTAGTTCCATTCTTGATATTTTTAATTCTCAGCATCCTAGGCTTCACTTCACAATGGAGGTAGAAGTGATAGATTGAATTTTTGGTATGTTACAGTGATTAGGGATAATGAGTTGATAGAGTTCAATTTAGTACCACAAGCCGACTTTTTCGGGTAGATATTTGAATTTTTGGTCACAGCATCCTGTTTCTAAAAAAATAGGTCCAATCGCGAGATTAGTTGATAGGGTAGGTTTGCTTTCGAATCCTAAATTTCATACTTAATAATTTGTATTTCATTATTAAAGTATTGTTAGAGAATGATTATCCATTGAACTTTATATTTTAGAATATTAACAATTGTTTGAAGAAAATTATTATGGCTAGAAATAGCAAGAGTGTTGTTAATGTTGATAGGGTAGAAACAGTGCAGCCTTCGTGGTTCACTGTTCCTTTCGTTCGTGGTATTACTGAGAAGTTTAGCAGATTGAATAGCAAGCGTATGAGGATATTGTTCTATAGTACTAATAAAT